CAGAGTCCTACCTTACTAGCAGAGAAGAAATCCAAATCAGAGCCTGATGCACAACAGTACAGCAAATAACGATAGATGCAGGCAAATGAAATGAGTTACCACAGCCTTTCATCATGCTTAGAGACCTACAAGCACACAAAGCAGAGTCACACCCCTTAAAACGTTCTTTAGACCAGTGGTTCTCAACCTTTTTTTATCGAAGGACCCCGTTTCCAAAAACAAGATGTTTTCCGCCCCCCTACACAAGTTATGATATTGTTTCTGTTGTACGTGTTCTACAATGATGCCCGACATTACCACTCTCCATTCATAGAAAAATATTTTAATTTAGTTACACTGCCAAACAATATTCTTTTGAATATAACTCAAGGTTTCATTCCACTATCTGTACCAACACTCTTTTTCTCTCAGTTTATGACATTGCTCTCAAAACAGAGGGTGAATGTTTAAGAACAAAACAATCTATCTGGCAAATGGCTCTAAAATCAGAAGCCTGACAGCCGTTAAAAATCAGGGCGACCGTAGGACCTCTTTTTCCTGGACTCGTTCTCTGTTTTGTGATCTAGCAACAAATAATACCAATTATATATTTTTAACGATGTTTAAAATAATATGAACCAAGAGGCAATGATTCCTTGCCTTTCCCCTCCATCACCTCCCCCTGAGATGCTGCTGACTAAATGGTTCAATTTTAGCTGTGGATTCTGGGATTCTGAGTCATGTCATGACGGTATTTTCAACCAGGACGGAATACTATTGGTTTCTATGGAACATATTTAATAAAGTCCTAATTTTAACACACAATAAAAGTATATCAATATAAATGGTATTGCGTCGTCATGTATCTCATTCAGAAAATGTATCAAAATACCATATTAATTTAATACAGGCTACCAACCAGCCCTAAAGCAATGTCATAATTTTTCACTACAATTTTAAAAATTGTACGGACCTCCTCATTCACTCACTGAGGACCCCTAGTGGGCTGTGGCCCCCCAGTTGAGAACCACTGCTTTAGCCCCCAAATAAATGTACATGAGTAAGTTTAAATAGTATGTTCTCACTCATTCCCCATCAAACCCCCCTCGTAAAGACTTAGCCCCCCTTTTCGTGAATCTCTCGTGACGCTCCGGCTGCATGTCACCACTCAGTACTCGTGCGCGACATGGGCTTCTTGCCTTGTAGCGCTCGCTCCAGCGGCTCCTCTGCTTCAGGTTCACCAGCCGGGGGATGACAGAGCGCTGGTCCAGGTGGTCCAGGGAGTTCTTCATCTTGCACGCGTAGCGCTTTGTCCGGACTCCGTCTGCGGCATTCGACACATCTGTCATTACAGGAAATACGACTATCCACCAATTACACCTTGGAAATACAGATATACCTTGGAAATACTCCAACCTTCAAGTGAAAATACAAAAGCCTGGTATCTCACAAGGGTCACTGCAATGGTCCCCACTTACGTCTAATATAACAGCACCACGCCTCTTGTTCAGACGTTTCATGTACACGTTATGTAAAAGGCGGAGTTTCTACTCCTGAGCTTATTCATGCATGGGAAACATCTGACATGGGCTCTGATTTGTAGGGAATACCTCCCACTTCACTCCTTAAATAAGCAGATGCTAGAGCAGGGGTGTCAAACTCCAGTCCTGGGGGGCCGGAGCCCTGTGTAGCTTAGTCCTTTCCCTGTTCCACCATAAATGATTCAGCTTAAGAGCTGTGTGGTAATTAGCACAAGGAGTTGAATCAGGTGTGTTAAATGAGGGGAAACCCAAAAATGTGCAGGGCTCCGGCCCCCCAGGACTGGAGGTTTGACACCCTTGTGCTAGAGGATCCATTGCTCTCAAAGTATCCGTGTCCTGGCCTCTGCGGGCCCATCCCCAGATGTGAAGCACTGCTCCCCACTGGGCCCAGTGTCCTTACCATACAGCGACTGGAGGAACGTCTGGTCCCCAGCATTTATCAGCAAGGCCTTCACCACCAGCTCAAAGTGGTCCCGCTGGGAGCCGAGCGCCACTGGAAGGAGAGCAGACACATGAGGGCCTGAGCGTGGGCACACGACCAAGGGACCCAGGAACGGCACGTTCTGAAGCACCATGTTCTCCACCGAGCTGATCAATCAGTGACTCACTCTGTGGAAGATGATAGGAGAGGAGGGATCTCTCCTGGCTCTCCCCTTCATCCCCATCTTTCTGCTCCTCATCCTCCACTATGAAGTCTTTCAGACTGTCACTCTCTGTCCCTTCCTCACTGCTGTGCACCAACGTCCAGGTAGCATCTTCATCATCATCACCATCATCATCGTCGTCTTTTCCTGAGCCCTAGAATTACACACATTCAAGAATGATACAGAAAAGTATCACGTATGTTTGGAATGTGCTATTTTCCAATTACATGTTGCTTTGCATCTGCTAAATAAAATAAATGTTATAGTATAAAACCAAGTTGTCACAACTGCCAGTGTCCTGCAAGCAGTCCGCACTTCTGATCTAGTAGCTGGTCTTTACCAACCCAGGAATTACATAACCTACGTATCAGAGGTACCCAAGCTGTCGGTCGATCTCTGCAGGATTAATGCTTTATCTCATTGCTGGCCAACCGCATGACCTACAAAATATACCATGGGGGAACCCCCTCCCCGGTTGGAAGCAAAATACACCATGGAGACCCGCCCCCCCCATTTCCGATTTGTTGTTAATCCGCCCCGTGACTGTTTTCCGTCTATAATGATTTCTGTAATAAACCAGTGGTCTATTTATAATGTTCCTATAAAATGCAACACGATAATTGGAATCAGGTCCCTCAGATCCCTTTAGGAACATCACTGTCGCATTTCAAAACATTGCACGACAGGCGTGTGTGTGTCGCATGCAGTGTTATAGTGCAGTGCGCATGCTGGTACCTCCGTCGTCCCGCGCACAGAGCGGCCGGCCCTCGCCCTCGTCCTCCGCGACAGCTCCAAAAGCTTATCCCGCCTTTCTCTCTTTTTCTCCTTCTCCCTCTCCGGCCGAGCTGCGTCCCCCTCTTCCTCCTCGTCCGAATCGGACAGCGGTGTCTGCAGGTTCAGACGTTTCTTAGGCAGCACCTTCCGGACAGGTTGGCCCACTTCGTCGCTGTCGGAGCTGCTGGAGCTGTCAGCGAGAACAGCGGTAAAGGAGCGCTTTCTCCCCGCCCGAGGCGTCGCACACGCATCCTCCTCGTCGCTGGCGCTTCCGGCCGGCTGCTCTTTGTCCCGGCGGTCCCCCGCGTTGTCGGAATTGCTATGCACGACGTTGCCGGAGGCGCTGTCCGCGGAGTCGGAGGCGGTGTCCGCGGTGTCGGAGGCGTTGTCCGCGGTGTCAGAGGCGCTGTCGTCGGAGTCTTTTAGGTAGCCTAGGATGCCGACGCGAGTCTTCCTCCGGTCCACACGGGAGCTCCGGCGGAGCCCCGAGCTGCTTCTCCTTCTTGTTTGGTACATCGGGCTACACAGATCCTAAATCAGCCAGGCGGGACACCCAGATGCGCGGTCAGGACCAGTGCCTCACGTGGGACAGAACACGGGTGCTGCTGCTCCCCTTGTTATTCAGTACCAGCAGATACGGAGAGGTGCCGGTGTTCTAAAAGAGAAAAACAAAGAGGTGTTTATGGAACACATACTACCGACACTTCGGAGCTCGTCTCGTCAAAGTAAAGCCCGGCGACTCGGTGCAGGGAGTCTGCCATTAAGTTTCGTTTATGCAGTCTCACGTGACTGATTACGTCAGAGGCGTCCCGAGGCGCCAGCGGCTCCGAATCCTGTCATTTTGAGCTGATAGCGACTGTCGCGCACCTCTTGGTTTTCCACGTTACTTTACGGGCGAATCTTCATCTTAACATTTGAATTCTCGCATCTTCACGTTCAGTAGCTGGTGGTGAATAGACACAGTGCAGTTATTGTGTGTGTGTGTGTATTAGGAGTAAGCGGGGCCACAGTGCCTGTGCCGGTGGGCAGTACGGGTGCAATAAACGTCACAAAGTGATTAAATGCGGAACCCTCTGCCTGATTTCTACCTACAACATGGCTCTGCGACCCACTTTTACAGTATTTCAAAGATTAAAGGCTATTTAACATAATCATACCGTGCTGTCATGCATTCCGTTCCATGCAAAATTCTCAGATTGTTATAAGTGTTGCTATGTTCTGAGACCCATTAGGCGTATCCATATGTTTGGGGGAAAAAGGTTCGTAGCCTCGAAACACCAACAGGTGTTGGGTCGAATTCAGCAGCCCTGTCGTGAAATGCACCCCCTGTCGGGAGCGCGCACAGCTCTTTACTTCGATTCGAAGGGGGGAAAAGACGTAGTTCCGTCCATCTAAATGTGCAACAGAAATATTAAATTGCGTTTGCACATTTAAAAAGACGTTTATCATTGTTTCATATCACGAACATCGAGCTGCATTTAATCCATATGAAACTGATAAACTATGCTATGACATGTAGACGATGAGCCCTGATCGAGCACATAGGACATTTATTCGTCTCGTTATTAGTTTACTAGTTTATGAACAAGGAAGTCCTTGGTTTTATTATCCAAAGGAGGAAAATTACACAATATGATTTCTTATTCACATTTAGTAATTTAAGTAATTAAGTAAGAGAATATTCTGGTGCAGTGATCTGAAATACCTAAACAAAAATATGTTTGTCTTTATACGGAAGTCTGTAGAATACGGAAGAGGATTAGGGCCACCATGAAAATATTATTTGAATATTATCTGACTTTTTTTCTCAGAATTCTGACTTTAATCTCAGAATTCTGAGTTTAGAAAAAAAGTCAGAATTCTGAGAAGTCAGAATTCTGACATTAAAGTCAGAATTCAAATAATATTTTCATGGTGGTCCTAATCCTTTTCCGTATGTAGAGGATGTCGGACATGCATCAACTTTTTAATTTCTTTTCATTATTACGACTTATTTTTCTCGTGATCGCGACATAACCAAAGTCTCTTTCCCGTGATCTCGCGAGAGGTTTTGTATCATACTTGAGGTGGTAACGTTTATTACTGGGTCATTCCATATCAAATCACACTTTCGGACCTCATCGTCACGGATTTTAAGTAACGAAACTTGGCATGCTGATTTGGTCAAATGAGTAACTCATGAAACTGAAATTGTGCGTGTCTTGGATCAATATTGAGGGACATTTAAGCGAACAAAGTTTTAACTTTTTGGGGGGGTCCAATCAAAATCAGGGTCCAGACACGGAAGTCCAGGGAACGGGATTTATTAGGGCAAACAGGGAGACAGGGCACAATACAATCGAGACGTTAATGACGGAACTCGGGATATATGTGTGTGTGTGTGAATTCCGCGATGGTGCTTCTCGTTTAGTATGTGTGCAGCCTCATATAATATGTGGGGATTACATGGTCTGCAGTGCCTCCTTAGAGGGTTGTAAGCTTTAACTTAATGTGTGATGTAATGAAGCCCATTGTTTTGGTATTGCTGGTTGCCTCTGCCCTCGCGATCTTTTTTTTACCCTTTTATTTGCAGAAAAGATGTCTATAAATTAATAAAGATTGTCGATCCTTCTACATAAATCTTGGGTTGTGATCATTACAGGCTCGGGTATTTGTTGCAGTCTTCTGCTGCGTTAAATAACCCATATTTATTACAGTATCAATGACAGTCTAAATATCTCTGTAATTATATTTAAACTGTTAGGCTATTAGGAGTTTTCTTTCAGAAAGCAAATTTAAAGTTTTTTGCTAATAAATACATACTTATAATCAAATCATTATTACCAAATATTGGTTAAACGTTTTATTTGCAGATGTGGACGGCTTAATTGCAGCACTCAGAAATGCTTGGAATGCCTGGAGAAACTGCAACAGGAAAAGGTTAGCTATATAGACTAATAGCGTATTTTGTACATTATATCTCTGTTGCATATGTATTTAAATCGTGTTACGGTGTTTCTTTTCTATAAAGACAACCAGAGTTTAGCGCCAGACTATGCGCTGTTCTATGTATTGTGCAGTAGTATAAATGAGACATCAAGTTACAGTACAATAACATAAGGGCAACGGTGGCCGAGAACAGGAAGATGTAGGAATAAATTAAAGAAACATTTACATCAGGATTAAAGCCAGTTCAGTGCTTTTGTTAGATTCTGTTGAATCCATACATACAATTTGGTGGTTGTATTTTAAAAACTATAGGTGTATTAAAATCAGTGGAATATAATGAGAGGATGGAGGGATAAATGGGGAAAATAAGAGACTGGTAGATCAGTAAGCATATAGGCAGGGCTTACACTCAGGTGCTGGGTCTATGTAAAAATTTTGGTGGCTATACTTCAAAAGATGTAGTGATAAAAATGAATTTCTATAAGGGCCGATGATGAAATAAAATCAATTAAGTGCTATACTTCAGTTGTTGAGTCTGCATAAGAAGTTTGGTTTGGCTTAAACGGTTTGAATATTTAGAAGGGGTTTAAAGGAGTGAGGAGTGATAAAGGAAAGAATAGAGCGGCCTGTTATTTAATTGCTATCAGTATAAAGGTCAGTACATCTTCAGCTGTTCAGTTTATAAACTAGGTTTTGTCACACCCTGCTCCGTCCGCTCCTGATGTGTGCCACGCCCCTCATTATCCACGTGTGCTTTCCCGATCGTGCCCAGCTGTTCCTTGTTAGTTTGGCTTGTCTGCTGTATTTAGTCCGCGTCTGAGTATGTTACCCCAGATCCGTCATTAATGTTTGTTGATGTTTGCTGTCGTGTTTCCCCGGTCCTGCTTCCAGAATAAAACCCCGTTTGCCTGCATCCTCGGCTTTGCTCGCTTGCTTCCCGGCTCGCTCGCTTGCTCGATCACAACAGGTTTAGTGATTGTTGCTAAAACAAGATTAAAGTGGGTGGTTTCTAATGGTAGGACTGAGTGAAGAGATGAATGCTGTCAGTATCAAAAATGTGTGATTTGGCTCAGAAGATATAAAAAAAAAATTATTGATTATGGCATTTACACGTTAGGAGCTTTAAACTTAAATTTAAAAGTTGAAAAATGAAGTCAATCATCGAATGAATGGGGTTAAAAAATGGTTGAATATATAGTAAGGCTCAAGCCATTAAGCAGACATCTTTCAACATGTCCGCAGCCGACATTCAGTAACCATGGAGACGTCCCGGACCCTCCAGTTGGTTGGCAATGAAATTGACTACTCGTTCAGGCTCACTATAATTTCTCCGACGGTATAGCTGCAAATTTCTGAGCCTGCTTCTCAAATAACGAACACTAATACGATAATAGTCTAGCACCAACAGACAAACTATTTCCTCTTGGGACAGTCCACGATCAAAGTAAAATCTGATGCGTTCGTCCATGAGTCCGTAGAGAACATGCGTAAACTTTTTTTCGTTACCATGTCAAGTATGGTACAAAACCTGTCGCATGATCATCTTTACGAGGGCTTACCTGCCAGGAAATGCATTTCCATTCTCTCATTTGGTTCTATCGCGAAATGCTGTTAGCATCCAACAAATTTAACGAACTACATAATTACTGAATTTCATATCAATGCAGCACGCAGGGGGTGCATTTTGCGGCAGCTTACATGTATCACATTTAAGAAACTGGCTCAGTAACTGTGTTATTAGTACCTTCAGAGTTCGCATTATTAATTGATGTTGGTCCATTGTGCGGATTTATGGAAAGCGTTTTAGGATATTAGCTCACAGGAACATGCAGGGGGCATCCTTCCATCCATCCATTGACTTCTGCCTGTGTTGGTGCTACATAAATGAAACTTGCTCAGACAGTACACTTTGCTACACAGAGGGTACTGTTAAAAGCATTTGGTGATATACTTACCTGAAACAATGATGCAGGGGGGGGGTTGCCATTTATGGCATGGTACCTGCCGCAAAGTGGACTTCCTTTGGTTCAGGGGACGGGGGCTTGAGATTTCTTCTGTTTCTGAAGGGGGGAAGACAGAAAAGTATGAGACCCCCTGCTTTGAAGGGTTCTCCTTCCTTACCTTCTGGAGAAAAGGTCTTAAATCAGAATGCTGTTTTGATAAGATGCTTTTAATTGCGAGGGGATTTTTCTGCATACAGTGGTGAGGTACAAGCGCACAGATACAAACATATCTGGCTCTTTTAAGTGCAGAGATCTGCTTCTGCCAAGTCCCCATTTGGCCAGCAGAGGTCACTGGCCATCCTGTAATCACCTTATTCCCAGGCCTTGTGTCTTGACCCTTTACACGTGTCTCTCCTCTGCTAGTCCTGTTCCGTGTGTGCATGCCTGCCCTCACTGTGTTCCCCAGCTTGGTCATTGTCATTGTACAGAAAGTCTGGTGTCTCTACCCAATAAAGTCCGTGTCTGCTCTGAAGCTGCTGCATCTGGCTCGTGTCTTGCCTGCCGCTCATGACACAAACCGAGCATTGTTGGAAAAAAAAATAAAAAATTCCAGTATGGCAGAGCGCATCCCGACCAGTCGATCTGAGCTGAATTGTCTGGTTCCATAGTAATGCAGCTCCTCCAAAATGGGATTTTTATGTAGCAGAAACACACTAGCACCTATGAGATCTTCTCATATTTACTCACCCACTGTACGTTATACTGTGCTGACTCTATAAGCTTATTTGCACATCTCTCAAACTGTTACTCCACACCATCTCACTCTTATTTATAAACCTAAGTGCCAGTTTGTTTATTAATTGCACATTTTCTTATTTATCTGGTTTGTGTATTTTTTCGTCTTGAAAGTATAGTACAGTTTAAATTGTATACTCATGCCACCACTAAAACAAATACTTTGTGCTTTCTGTACATGACGAGTAAAAGGATTCTGATTCTCAGCTGATAACATTACCTACCCACTGTTTGCTTGACAGTATGTGACTTACATCCACAGTATTGTGACAGTTCTCACTGTAGCCACACTGCAGCTGCACAGTCATTTCTGTCCATCTTCTAACTGTGTTATCCTGGCCAGGGTGGCAGGGGGACAAAAGGCTGGGGTAACTCTAGATGGGACACCAGTCCGTCTCAGGGCATTGAGGGTACAAATCTCCTGTCTTTGGACTGTGGGGAGAAAAGCATGCGGTCACCAGAAGTGTTTCTCTGTACCAAGAATGCAAAGACCATACTTGTGGTCTTGGCAAGAGCAGTCTTGCTAACTTGCCTCACAAGAATGAACTTGGGACGGAATGAATCATGAGATTAGTCAGGGATGGCAAGGATGCAACTGATGCATCCTTGACATTGAGGGCAGGACAAGAACGCTACTACTTCGCTTCATAGTATTGGAAGATGACGTTGGACACAAGTACAGTCAAGTAACCTTTGCATATTGAGAAACACCATGGATACTTGGTTTAAAGATGGATAGGTCTGTTCTTACTGATCCAACACAGTAGAGATTGTATGAATATGGCATCTAGCCTATTTTATTACATTTTAAAAGAGAAAATAATTCTATGTATAAATATCAAGCATTCAATTATGATCCTACACAACTTAAATTGATGTGGCAGTTCAGCGAAATTAGCGTCTTTTGTTTTTATTATAACTTTCTTGCTGTTGAAGATTACAGTTGATAACAGGGTTGCAGGCACCCATTGTTGTCCTGTTCGTGGCTTGTCACTCAGATCTTGCGCTAACAAAGTCAATAAATTATCAGGGGGGCAGTTAATAACCGCCTATTAACTTTGCTTACGCGAGCGCCTAAAAGGTCCCCTCTTTGTTCTGCTGCTCTGACAGAGCACCAGCCCATTACAACCTCAGCAACCGGAATGGAGAAACAACACACCATAAGCTCTTAAGGACTATTTATACTAGTAATTAGAGCATTGGTCACGTTCGCTAAATACTGTGACTCTCTCTCTTTCGCTGAAAGACAATAAGGGCAAGGGGTGCGAGTAAATTGCCTGACGTCTGGAAGCCTAGCAGCGGCCAAATTACTAACTGACTATTTGACAGTTGGGCCACTGCGCTAAACAAGTCACTGCTTATATGTGTGTAAGCTCTAATTTGACCAAATTCCGCCGAAAACATATATCATATAAGGGTATGACACGTGCATACACACCTTGGTGCATTTAGGTATCTCTACTTCTGGTTTCGAACTCACTCCTCAAACCGAAAATGGACTATAATATGATGCGTTATGTCGCCGCACTATTAATCCCGACGCTCTGCTGCTCCGCTGCCATGCTTGGTATGGGCAGTAGATGGCGACTCAGACATACCCGATGTAACGCGCGCGCAGCTTTGGGAGTCCACTGTTAATTATAGGCGAAATCTGGACCGATCGCAACACATTTGTGCGATAGCACAAACGTGCAAGGGACAAATTGTAGTTATAAATTAACCAAATTAAGCACTTCCACCAGGTATCATGTTTTTGTTTGTGAATGTTTTATGTGTTTCGATAAAGAAAAAGGCAATTTCTTTAACGTTGTAAGAGCTCACATTCCGGGAAGTATTTCAATAATCAAGAATCCTTTATTCTAACTAAATGTGTTCACTCATGCCCGACATTTTTATGAAAATGTATTGAAGACATTTTTTCAGTAATTATTAGTATATTAGTATGTAAATATTAGTATAATAAGCTGGTTGTAACTGTATATATGCAAAATGTTGTGCAAAAATGGTAATTTAGCAAAATAACATTCCTACCAGTCCTGTAGCATAGGCTACTCATTTATTTAAATAATTTTCGTGTCTGTTTTCACTGTGGCTATCGACGCTGGCTGGATAAATCAACGAAACTATGCTAAGTAATATTTTTCGCTTTTCTTTAAAATAATGTGCTTAACACATGTGAAAATAAATTACGTCACTATCGCTGTATGCATCCTTGTCTGATGACATACTTGAAACTATTCGTAAGCGTAATCTAGACGAGTGCCGCAGTTTGTGAGCTAATCAAATTGTGCTGATTATTAATACACAAATATGTGTATCATATGAACATAAAATGTGTAAGTGACAAAATAGGAAACGTAGTCGCTAAAATGTGCTTAAATCGTTATTAAAACACACAGTAGGCCTGATAATGATAATTAAGCATGGCAAAGAGGAATTATAGGTTGTAGTTCTATCGTCACCTCTTTTTTCATTTGGCTCCGTTGGTAATATAGATTAAGGAAAAGCGAGAAGAAACGACCAAGGTGAAGGATAAATAGTTAATAATCGAAACAACCTGGAAACTGCCGTTATAGGTCGCTCATTTCTGAGCTCCGCTCACCATCTCGGTTTTTTCTGGGGTCTCATTCTCCTTCAAAAAAACATTAATGTTCCCGATTCGAGTCTCGACTCCGGGGTTCTGCAATCCGTCTCTGCTTCATCAGAAATAAGTCATGTTGTTTATTTCATTCTTAAAAAAACAATCGAAAATCTAATTTTACGGTTATTTCGCCATAAATTACCACTTAACCTGTATTGATGTGTTTTGTAGCGTACATGTTATAAATTACAATTAATCTGACTTTCTCCCCACATTCTGAATTTGTCATTCAATTCTGTCATTAAATTTTGGTCCAAATAAAAATAACGCTTGTTGCGGCTAGCACAAAAAATAAAAAATTAAATCCAGACGGCTAGTGAAGTCGCGGACACTTCTTCCAACAAGAAAAAAATGGACGTAATATGTTCACAGTGTACCTGTTTGTGTAATACAGGCCTACTTTATAGCACCTTTAAAATACCCAGTTCAGCAAGGATAATTATTTTAGAGATCAATTGATATTTGTTATGAATAGGCGTAGTGTATTGTTAGCACATTGTTTAAATTAAAAAGCATATTTTAAAATCTTAATACCAAAGTATGACACTATAAAACATTCATAACTGCATTTTTTTCGATAAAAGCAGTAGAAAACTGATATTACTGTTTGAGAGTGTGCAGCTTGTTCGCGAATTACTGAGTAGGAAGTTTAGGTGGGACATCGCTTCGCAATGATGGTCGGTTTTTTTGCACCGAGAGCCAATCAGAAGGACAAGGACACGTGTGTGTGGCAGGACCAGGAGCGCCTGCAGCTCAGCCGCACCGTTACTGCGCCGAGGCAGGGCGACAGCGACAAGGTCTGATCAGCGACAAACACATTTCAACACAATCCAAAGATCTTATCAAAGGGGCAACCATGAGCCGTCAGTGCCATGATGGCGACTCAAAGAGAAATGAGTGCAGCGCTAAATCGCCAACTTGGCTCTCCTCATACTGTATAGACAGTATCCTGGGCCGTACGAGTCCCTGTGGAGCAGGATTAAAAGGGTCAAAAAATATCCGCACGCCGCCTGGCGCAACTGAACAAGACGGGAGCGCAGAAGGTAGGAAAACAGACCCGCACAAAACTCTAATGTTTACGTCTTACACGTAATTTCTTCGAATATGTTAATTTCACAGACAGACTTGGTACTGGGCACTGAGCAATACTACCCTATGGAAAAGCCTCAATGCCGCTCACGTTACACATCAGCCTGGAGGTTTTAAATATAGTTTTTATTATCGGTTTGGTTGTTCTCGTGTTTTACTGTTACAGTAATTACGTAGGGAGCGGTAAATAAAATCAAACAAGTCAACAAAATAATTAAAAGGAAAAGAAAGCTAATAAATGATATAAGTGAACAATTAAGTGCTTTCGATACTTAAACTAATCGACCTTATTTGTATATCTGCACGGTAGTAAAATACTGCCTACCAGTTTAAAGTCCATTAATGTAATACATTAATTTCTATAAAATATCATGTCACTAAAACGTTTACAAGCAGTTCAATATGCTGTTAACGAGGGCACTAAATTTATTCTTAATGCTGACGGTTTTACTTGCAAATACTGGATTAAATATAACGTGTGGTTTATGTTGTATGCGTATTTGCAATGTCTATATGAATATTTGACTTCAGCCATTTGAGTAGGTTTCATGTGAGACATAGAACTACATAATGCGATATATAGCCTATACTGTATTTGCATTTACTCCGCTATAATGTTAGAATATTTTATATATTTTTTTATTTTAAATAGCTACAGGCCTACATAAAAATATTTCCGCTAGATGACACGGACAGTAAAATTTAACGATGACAGGTACATCTCCTTGTCATATTTCTAAAAGCTCTTGATAGAGATTAACCTTTGAATTCCTTTGACTCTTTATTTGCAGTCTCCGCCAAAGATAGCTCATCTTCAATGCCGGAGGTGCACCTGCCGCCCAAGCTACGCCGGTTCTTTGACCGGGAAGGGAAATACTTGGACTCTGGCAGAAAATCTCAGGGAAACGGGGATTTAGGGAAAACAGAGAAAATGCACAATCTTAGAATTATACAGGCACCGCCCGTTAACATCAGTCGTACCAAGTCCTACAGGGAGAACCAGTCGCTGAAGCAGCTGGAAGGAGCCAAGAGCCCCAAGAGCGGGGCCGAGGCGCTGACAGAACCGGGGACGCTCAAATTCGAGGAAGATGCGGTACAGGAGGAGCCATCCATGGAGTCGCTTTCTGGAGATATATCTCCGAAAGAAGCAGAGGGCACCAACAACGATGGGGATGTTAAAGATGGAGAGGACAGTATGTGCTTGTCGGCGGGCAGTGACACAGAGGAGGGCATGCTCAAACGCAAGCAGCGGAGATACAGGACGACATTTACCACTTACCAATTAGAAGAGCTGGAGAGGGCCTTCCAGAAGACGCACTACCCTGACGTGTTCACCAGGTAATGCACCTCCGGCAATTACATTTGCTAAAAATAGGAGATATTCACCTGTGGCATGCAGGTCGGTCCGCTTTCGTGCCACTTTTTTGGGGCAGGAAGGCAGAGTAAAGGCAGCCGAGGTATTTCACCGGACGACGTCACGGCGGTCACCTGGAATGGGTGCAGTGTAAAAAGTTCAGCGTTTACTTCACTACCCACCGCACTCGCTCGCTCGCTCAAGCGTCCAGTTTCATCCTCATCGATTAAAACAAGTTAGACAACCGTCCTAATATTTGAACAGACCTTTCCATTAGTTACAGATTATATTTATGTTTAAAACTTTGTCACATTTAATATCTCAGTAATACTACTAACTTTTTAATAACACATAGGCCTATTTATATATTTTTCATTTTAGATTTTAGAAAATGTAAATATTTGACCGCGCTTTACATTTATTAAAATATGAGAATGCAAAATGAATTCTTGTAGAATAAAAAATAAACATATTTAGATTATTTTAGAACGGTTTCCATTTATATTTTAAAATGTTCATTTTGGGACATCCTTTACTTCCTTTAATATTGATCTTGTGCTTAAAAGATAATATTCGTACGTATATTCGTACGTGAAATGGCGAATCCTTTTGTAATAATAATAATAATAATAATAATAATAATAATAATAATAATAATAATAACGCAACGAATCCTTTAATTTTTGTTGATGGATACAATTTGTTGCACTTTGTTTTTTTTACAGACTGTAGAATACCCTATGTTTAATAAATATTACATTGGAAAAGGGAGAGAATCGGTCATAAGTCTATAAATCAAATATAGCGAAATTGTTTTTAAGATGACAATTTTGTGCTTTTTCCGCACGCCATGTTTGATTGTATGCAGCGCCGTCGAACTATCTTTAATTCGCGCCTTAAAACTATAGGTGTACAGAATCAGTTAACAAAATCAAATAAATTTATTTCACGCAGATAGTAACAAAGCCATTTTTTTGTTCAGATTACTGAAACGCAATGTTAATATTATGCTTGAAATCAAATACAGCGGTTAAATTCTTTACTTTGGCAGGGAGGAGCTTGCAGTGCGGCTAGACCTGACAGAGGCGCGAGTACAAGTAGGTACATCGTCTAACATTATTATTACTATTATTATTATTATTATTATTATTATTGTTGTTGTTGTTGTTTTTGGTTGTCAGTAATATTAGTAGTTAGTGCTACAAAATTACAATATTTTTTTATTTACTATATGATTTGTTACTTTATTATTTTGTTAATAATTCTCAGCTGCAGCCTTGTCTTTCTTTATTATGAAATGGCCAAAAGAGAAGATGCAGTCTGGCTTTTAGTCCAACAGGAAGTATGAATTGGAGTAGATTGTTGCTTGATTTCCCATTGTCTGACTGTAGGGAGCAGCGCTGCTATGAGGCCTTGAGTGCCCCCCCCCCCCAATCCTACCGAGACACTAGGCACTAGCTAATGAGCCAGACCGATGTCCTCCGCGTGAATGTACATTAGTAGGTGCCTTGTGCACAGAGCCGCTCTCCCTTGCTGGGGCTGTGCAAGGCCACTGCAGCACTCATACCTGCACCGCGTGGCCGACAGGTGTGGTTCCAGAACCGCCGGGCCAAATGGAGGAAGCGGGAGAAGGCGGGGGTCCATGCGGCACCCCAGGGGCTCTCCTTTCCGGGACACCTGCTTTCATCCCACCCCCTGGGCCCCTACTTGGAAGGGGGACCTTGTGCTGCTCACGTTCCCCAGGCCCAGGACTCCCCCTGGAGCACCGGCACCTTCCGGGGGCTGACTCTTCCTCCCAGTGGCTCGGGGCCCCGGTTCGGCTTGGGTGCCTTGCTGGGTGCCGCTGTCTTCCGGCACCCGGCCCTCATGAGTCCGGCCTTTGGCAGGTAAGCAGTCCTGCCTTTCGCATTGTGCTGCTGATGATGAAATGGTCAGCTTTCACTAGCTCCTCCCCCAGGCTCTTCTCCATGGCATCCCTGACTGCCCCTCCCTCGTCGGCTGCACTGCTTCACCCCCCCACCACCTCTGTGGATGCCATGGTTCCGGCAGCTACTCTGCCGGACTCCCCGTCGCCCTCTATGGCGGCTGACCGCCGTGCCTCCAGCATCGCGGCCCTGCGGCTCAGAGCCAAGGAGCACTCGGCTCAGCTTACCCAGCTGAACGTCCTGCCCCCCGGGGGGGCGGGAAAGGAGGTGTGTTAAGCTCCGCCCCCCATGTGCTCACCCCGCCCACACACGCATGACCAAAGTGAAGAGGGCTGGCCTTACAGCTCACCTGCAGCTCCCAGAATGCCCTTGTGTTTTCCGCCAGCGATGAGCACATGCCCGTGCTGGTGGGGTCCTCCAGGCTCTGTAACAGTGGCCTTTTGCTGTCCCCAAGATCTCTGTGCCAAAGGGGACAGGGTGACCAGCGAGCTGAGAGCTCCAGCAGCTGTGACAGGCTGGGACAAACAGACTCCTCAGTGTGACGGACTGGGAAGCACCGATGCACATACAGCATTAGTCGCCTGTACAAAGCAGAGGACGCCACCCTCTGCATTCTCACTGTGGATTCATTCCTGCCTCGACTGATATTTAATTTTAAAATGAGAGCTATAACTGAGAGCTTTGTATATTTTACAGTGTTTTAAAAGGCCGTATTCATGCATTTGTGTTATTGTAAAGGTTTTATCCAAGACTTCCATTAAATATTAGTTTAACTCATAAAAATATTATGACCCTTCATCATTTAAGGTCTGTCAGTGGAGTTTTTGAACTTTCAACCAGAAATATGTACTGGAAATGCATTTGTTTATTTTTTATGGTATTGGGAGAAGCAAAATGAGCTAAAGAAAAGCAATAAATTAATGTGTTGTACAGATATTTTCTACAGTAACAGAAGAAATACACATCCTCGGTTTTCTCTGAGGTTGAAACATTGACCTGCGGCCACAGAATGTCATAAAGTAAAGATTGGCTTCCTGTTTTGTCTTGGGAGACATTCCAAATTTAATTAAATAATTAGAAACAAACGTTTATTTTTTCATCCATCCATTTTCTATGCCCGTTGTCCTATTCAAGGTCACAGGGGTCCAGAACCTATGGGCACAAGACAATTAACAACCCAGGACACCAACCCTCACAGGGCACACTCACAATTCACGCCTATGGAAAATTTGGTAACTCCAGTTAACACGAGAGTACCTGGAGGAAAAGCCATGATGGCACGGGGAGAACATGCGAACTCCACACACATGGAGCCAGGGTGGAGACTCATCTACATCTTCTGAACACTTACTTCAGACAGAAATGCAGAGGGAAAGAAGTCCATCCCAGGCAGTACTGGACAGGATTACAGTCAGCCACGGAATGGGATTCATTTCCAGCCCCGGAGTTTTATGCCCAAAAAAGTGTATTTGTTCTGGGGAAATAATGCCTGTCACGTTTAATTATCCCGATAAAGAACAAATTCTGCACTTTTAAAAAGTCTGCACTTTCTCAGCCCCGCCTGGTCTCTTTTAACCATCCATAGTTTGAAGAATTCCAATGATTAGCAATAGCAAGCGATCACTTGCGGCAGCTCCGCGACCGCGCTCTGTGCTAAAAGACATACGTGCACAAAGACGCGCCTGCCGGTGTTCTGTCGAGTTGAGCTACTTTGTCGAGTTAGGCTACCGTAGTGCTAATCGATAGCCCTAACCCTAACTCTTACCCTAACCCTAACTCTAACCCCCCAAAAACCTTACCTTAACCCTAACCCCTAAAACCTAACCCTAATCCCAAAACGGTGGAACTGTACATGCGCAGAAAGGCTCGATAGCATGTCTCGATAGGTAGCTCAACTCGTCAGAACACCCGGCTCCTTGCGCGTCTCTCTATGCAGAGCAAATGTGGTTTACTGAGTGCGTGTGTGCCAGAGAACTCACTGCTTAGCATCCTGATTCCGATTACTGTAGATTTTTAAACTTTTATTTTGTTTTCGACCGGCTAAACCTTAAACTTGCCGAATTATTTTGTTTCTAACCGACACAACATTCTGCCCAGTCTCCTGACTGGCCACTCCGGGCCTCATTCCAGCCCATCACAAGGCACACAGTTGCACAGTACAGGACTGCAGCCTATTATAGCCCTGATGCAAACGAACGTGTACACGCACACATATCCACAGACACTGATGTGTGATTGAGGACCGCCACCGAAGCACCCCGAAGGTTTTTTCACGCATTTTTATTCTGGCACCTTAGTGACGCTAACGATAATTGTATTAATCCATATTTAACAAAAACAAGCTCGCCTCATGAGAGAAAAAGCGTGGATTTGCCGAGCTATAATGGTCTTTTTTCTGCCTATTAACAAAAACATGCTTTCAAAGGCGTAAAATTGGGTTTAGAATCTCCAGTGCGGCTCATAAGGAGGGACTCCTCATCAATGAAGTAACAAGTCATTTCGAAGAGTGCCATTCTCCAGCCTCCCCGATTTAATCTGCACGCCGCCACAAGCAGAGCCACTACAGCAATCAATGCGCTTCTTTCACTAAAGTCATTTTCCTCCATTTGACCCGTTCATGGTGCAGAACTAAATTGCGTGAAATTACCTAACGGATTAATGCCCCTCTTTATCGTCTATTCGGAGAATAGCTTTCAGACCCCTTGTTTTACATCTGCTAATCTTGTATAACCCCGACACTGAGGAATAGCAAAGGGAATCGAAGAAAAGAGAACTAAAATCCCAAAGTGATCGCTATGTTATTGCCTTTCTTCAAATGTTCCTTCGCAATAAACCCCGTTAATATTACCCAGAACTACGAAAAGTTCAGACTTCACCGGGTTCACAGAAAACTTTGTTGCTGGGCATAATAAACGTGAGTGTTTAGTAAACCAATTGCCTTTCTAATTTCAGTCTCACTTTGACCAAAATCCGGGAACAGAAGCCAGATGGATGCTAATGTCAGGAGACGGCTGGCGTAGCTTCCGTTTGTAATGTTTGCTGGCGAGTGAGAAAGAACGCGGCAAACGAGGTTTTTACGGCTTTTTGAATTTATTGCTTGTTTCGACTACCCTTCGACTGCTAAATGCATTTCCACCTGCTTTTCTAAAACAACATCAACAAAAAAACTTGATTATACATTTCACGTATTCAATTGCGGCAGTGATTTTTTTTCTACTCGCATCATGATTTATGAATAGGCATAAAAATATTCATTCAATTTGTCACACAAGCCCATTAAGTAGGCTATATAAAAGTATACACACTCACAAGTAATCAGTAAAAAGACAGAATTTCACTAATAGGTATAATTCAAAATTCAAGTCAGAATTCATTATTATTATTTAAAATGTTGGCAATCTGAATATATATTACAAGTATTTTTATATGCATTTGGAGCCCTAAAAAATGTCCAATGTGTTATTATGTTATTAATATGTTATTCTTAATTTATGGAGATTACGGAAAATGCAGGCCTAAATCAAAAGAATTTAGAATGTATTTTATTTCTCTAATCTGTGACAACCTGACAAAACGTTTGGTGACAACATATTCAGCCACAGAGTGACACGTTCGTTTGCATCAGGGCTATAATAGGCTGCAGTCCTATCTACAGATATTTGCGAAAGAATGGGTCACTCTCAGGAGCTCAGTGAATTCAAGCATGGTACCGTGATAGGATGCCACCTGTGCAATAAGTCCATTTGTGAAATTTGCTCGCTACTAAATATTCCACAGTTAACTGTTAGTGGTATTATAACAAAGTGGAAGCAATTGGGAACAACAGCAACTCAGCCATGAAGTGGCAGGCCATGTAAAATCACAGAGCGGGGACAACGCATGCTGAGGCGCACAGTGTGCAGAAGTCACCAACTGTCTGCAGAGTCAATAGCTACAGACCTCCAAACTTCATGTGACCTTCAGATTAGCTCGAGAACAGTGTGTAAAGAACTTCCTGGAATGGGTTTCCATGGCTGAGCAGCTGCATCCAAGCCTTACATCACCAAGTGCAGGGCAAAGCGTTGGATGCAGTGGTGTAAAGCACACAGCCACTGGACTCTAGAGCAGTGGAGATGTGTTCTCTGGGGTGATGAATCACGCTTCTCTGTCTGGCAATCCAATGGACGAGTCTGGGTTTGCCAGTTGCCAGGAGATCGGTACTTGCCTGACTGGATTGTGCCAAGTGTAAAGTTTGGTGGAGGGGGGATTATGGTGTGGGGTTGTTTTTCAGGCTTGGCCCCTTAGTTCTAGTGAAAGGAACTCTTAATGCTGCAGCATTCAAAACCATTTTGGACAATTTCATGCTCCCAACTTTGTGGTAATAGTTCGGGGATGGCCCCTTCCTGTTCCAACATGACAGTGCACCAGTGCACAAAGCAAGGTCCATAAGGACATCGATGAGCAAGTCTGGTGTGGAGGAACTTGACTGGCCTTCACAGAGTCCTGACCTCAACAAGATAGAACACCTTTGGGATGAATTAGAGCAGAGACTGTGAGCCAGGTCTTCTCTTCCAACATCAGTGCCTGACCTCACAAATGCTCTCCTGGAAGAATGGTCAAAAATTCCCATAAACACACTAAACCTTGTGGACAGCCTTCCCAGAAGAGATTAAGCTGTAATATAGCTGCAAAGGGGGGACCAACTCCATATTAAAGGCTATGTATTAAGAATGGGATGTCATTAAAGTTCATGTGAGTAATGGCAGGTGTCCCAATACTTTTGGCAATATAGTGTACCAGATGCCCGACTCACAATGAGACAGCAACACAAGTTCACAAATTTCATAATTACACAACAATCCACATCCACTTCACACACAGAGTGATACTTTAAAAACAGCTGCAGATAATCAGACTGTATGCAAACAGACTGCAGGTGACAGCTGCTGATTGACAGTCAGACTGTATGCAGGCAGAGAGCAGGGGACAGCTGCTGATTGACAGTCAGACTGTATGCAGGCAGAGAGCAGGGGACAGCTGCTGATTGACAGTCAGACTGTATGCAGGCAGAGAGCAGGGGACAGCTGCTGACTAAGTCAGATTGTATGCAGGTAGATAGCAGGGGACAGCTGCTGATTGACAGTCAGACTGTATTCAGGCAGAGAGCAGGTGTCAGCTGCTGATTAACAGCCAGACTGTATGCAGGCAGACAGCTCACTCAAGAGTCCTCCCCTCCCAGACCGGCTCCAGGGCGGGGCCCTGGTTTCCCTAATCCAAGCATGGTCACATCTCCCTTTATGGGAATCATCATGTCAAATGCACATAGTCTGGCTGGTCACCTGGGACCAATTTGCTTGGGAGACTCTACCAGTGGCAATTGCCCCAGACAATAGATTCACAGAGACACACATCCTAGGATCACAGAGACACACATCCTAGGTTCATAGAGGCACACATCCTAGGATCACAGAGGCACACATCCTAGGATCACAGAGACACACATCCTAAGATCACCGAGATACACATCCTCAGATCACAGAGGTATACATCCTAGGATCACAGAGGCACACATCCTCGGATCATAGAGGCACACATCCTAGGATCACAGAGACACACATCCTCGGATCATAGAGGCACACATCCTAAGATCACAGAGACACACATCCTAGGATCACAGAGACACACATCCTATGATCAGATAGGCACACATCCTAGGATCACAGAGACACACATCCTCGGATCATAGAGGCACACATCCTAGGATCACAGAGACACACATCCTAGGATCACAGAGACACACATCCTAGGATCACATAGGCACACATCCTAGAATCACAGAGGCACACATCCTAGGGTCACATAGGCACACATCCTAGGATCACAGAGGTACACATCCTAGAATCACAGA